CCCCCCCCCCCCCCCCCCCCTCAAATAACATGCACCGGACTGAAGCATCAGAAATGACAGCAGTGTCAACTTTCGTAGGAAAGGCGGTGGCTTCCTTTTGTACCACGGGACTTTCCTCGACCCACGGAAAGATGTATGCATGCATGGAAAATCGTCCAAATGGACAAGCCTCTGACGAAAACAAAGTGACCCCCTCCCCCTCGCGCGCACGGGTGGATAGGACAGGGAAAACATGTTTGAGCCACCTTTGGCAAAGTAGGAAGGAACGATTGGCCATCGGTGATCGGGCCTGTGGGAACAACACTCCGTCCTCTCGAGGACGCGTGGTCAAGGGTCCAACAACTATGTAAGGCATGCAAAACATGAGCACACTCCCCCCGCCCCCCGGGAACACAACTGGTCCTACATAGTATTCGCAAACCACACGGACTTTGCGGCACCTCACCCGCAGAGCCCTAAACAGGGCGTCGGCATCGATTTCCGATTCTTGTGCAACCACCCCAGCAGCGCATCTCTGTCGGACCAACTCATCTGTCCTGCTCTGGCTTGTTCAAGGGTGCTCCGTAGCGCGAGGGCGAGGGCGGCGGCATCCCTACTCTCCGGCTTTGGGGGATGGAGAGACGTGGCGTGGGACGGACGGGGGGAAGAACGGCCGCAGAACGAATGAAAGCTTTACTAATGTTGCGGGTGAGAACAATAGGGCACACAAACGACATAGTATAGCTGAGCCAAAGGGTTTGGTGGCGCAGTGAAGCTGCTCTGTTTTGGGCGGATTCCCCAGAAGTCGTTCACGGGCATATATTTTTCTCTATCGTCTGCCTATCTTGGCGTACATATACAGCAGGTTATACCATGATCTTGTCTCCGTGTGACACAAGCAATATAAACATATTTTCCGTCCTGTTCATCGGGACTACGCACAGGGTGTCGCGCAAGCCGTGCCGGATCTTCCTACCGGTGGCCTTGTACGCTAACGTTGCTGATGGGGCGGCATTGCCATTTCCAAGAACGCCTCTGCTCTACATATAACTTGTTTCGGGGCGCTACGGCAAAGCATGCTGCTACCTGCTGTATCTGACTATCCAACGTGCCGCGTCAGGTGTGTTCACGGTGGGGTTGGACCGCCTCCGCGAGAAACGAACTAGATTTGTGAAGAAATACAACAGGAAGGGAGTAAGGAGATCCTATCCCTATCCCTAACCCAACTTCTCCGCTTGCATGCGACATCCAATATGCTTGTGCAATACAAGTAGGAAGACCCTGGGAAAGCTGCTGGTGGGGTATTGGGCTGCATGTGATGAGATGTCTACAGACGTTCGCAATTGGAAAAATTAAACTATCTCTCTCCAGCCCAGCCACGTTCTTGACTGGAGACATTCAGCAGTACAATTGCGTTTTTATACCATCCCCTAAGTCCCCCCCCTCGGTGTTTGCCATCGGGGTTGGGTTTTCGTCGCTTGGCAACGACGTTGTAAAACAAGCCAATTCACTTCGTGAACTCGGCAACCAGGTTACCGGTTTTTTTTTTTTACCTCCGGTTTTTTTTTTGGCGGTAACCATAATGTTGGTCGAGTAGATCATGTTGTGCGGGGTGGAGATGGAGAACCCTCACTCCGCGCAAGGGGGATGATCGCACCACGTTGTGTTAAAATGGTCAAGCACCCTCGAGGCAGTTACACAGTGCTTACAACTGTCTCTGGAAGTGAAAGCACCAGAAA